TGGATTCCAATGGGTTTGGCGGTTCAGCAGGAGCAGTCACAGCAGTGGAGGCTGTATCATAGCCATAATAATAACCTTCGGGATAATACCCATATTGCGCATAATAATATTGATAATATTCTTCAGTTGCTGTTGCTGTACTAGCAGTTTGGTCAGCCGAAATCGTTGAGTCATTTGCAGGACATTGATAATACGAGCCTTCTGTATATGATATACTGTTGGGAATTTGCCAAGTTGTTTCATTTGTGACAGTATTCCAATAATAATACGCTTGAACATTATCATCCCAAATGGCCTGCCAATCGGAAGCTTGATCCGTTTTTAACGACTCAGTCACTGATTTGGATTCTTGATCCAAGGCTTGATCAGCTGTAGTCACAGTTTCTGTTGTGGACTTTGTATTATTTTCTTCAATAGTGTTATCAGTTGTCTCATTTTCTGTATGGGCAGGATTAGTAACTTGTGAGAAAGACATTTTTGTCTCTATAATTAGAAACTTGGTGTTACTTTACTTGAAAAAGATAAAGCCGCAAGGTCGTTTTGTGAAAGAATGTCATTAAGAAGATACTGATCTAAAAGATTGAATTTCTATGCGGAAATGACGTAACGCAATTATGCCTTATCAGGCTAAAACACCTGCATAAATGCATCATAATCAATAATCATTATAAGGATTGTCGTCTCACTCGGAAAGTAAACAAACCAGAAACCGGAGCTATAACGAAAATTTTATAGTCGTCTTTTAGTTGAAAGCGCGCCAATATGATAACCAATACTGTTACGAATGAGATCCCAAAACAAACAACATTAAAGAATCACACAGCAAGTACTAATGCACAGTTTGCAAGGAATATAGTACAAGGTATTTTTCAGTCATTTTTTTTCTCACGAGATTTTCGGGCTGTGGTAAAGGTTTACCTTGAACGTTGTGAAAGTGGCTTCATCTCGTGTTCTAACCTGTACAAACAACCACTAGAAACCAAGAAAGATCTCAAAAGAAAAGCTGCAAGACAAGCAACAGCTGGTATTTATTTGTTTTAAAAAAATTTTTTTTATAATTAGAACTAAAAATATATTATTAAAAATGCCCTCCTGACTTTACTTCTCTGGCCCTTATTTTGGTTTGTACCCCCTCTAAATAATTTAGAATGGTAAGTCTGATAACAAAAAAGAAAAAAGCCTTTTTTTGTCATAACAATGGGGTCCATTTTTGTAATTTTTTTTTTTTTTTTTTTTACTGTGTGAACTTTGTTGTCATATTTGTACAATTTTCCGAATATTTGAAAATTATCAGGAACGGTTTATTAATATGGGCTAGAAAACAACGTGGACCATATTATGATCCAACGACGCGCATGTATCATGTCAATAGAAATTCGAAAAAATATTTTGCAGGATATACTGAAGCGGACGCTGAAATGTGAGTTAAAAGAGTTTCCGTTTCTATTTCTTTAACTGAAACATGGCAAAATGCTCAATAGCCAATAAACTTTAAAAACGTGATGACCAAACTGTTTGTGTAACCTTTCAGTGAGAACGATGCTTTAGGACTGACTGGGCAAAAAAGTGTGCATAATAGTTTCATTAAACCTGCATTACACATTGTTGATAAAGAATCGATAGTGTACGGAAATCACATGTCCCCAGCCCGCGTTGGTAACCCAAGCGGACGGAGACCTGGCCGCCCAAGGTATCTTTATTCATGCAATTCTTAAAAATTTGTAATTTTTTTGCGAATTCAGTTAATTGAACTGGTTTCTGTTAACTAATTTAGGAAATCGGATATGTCAAAACTTAATTAATATAAAACTTTTAGCATTAGCATTTACAACTATAACGTTTAGACACTATTTATCATATTCACAATTATTTGACGTGTTATGCAATTTCATAGAACTAGAAATAATCATGCAAGTGACGCCTTACATAGATGTTCATTTTTGTTAAGTGACATTTAAAGCCTCGATCTTTATACTGTATCGAATATACCAACATAATTACTTCAGACGTTTTAATTGTACACCTTTTATTGTTATTTGTAATTTAAACTTGAGTCAAACTTGTAAATTTGGTACTGGTGATGCAAACCGCTTATCAGAATTTACTTAACTAGAAAAGTTTTTTGGGATGCAGCTTTTTTTTTTGGTGTAACAATTGTGCAATTCAGAATAATTATTGAATTCTCAGCAGCTCTTAAAAAGTATCAGCACCGTTTATTACTACTATTATTTTTATTTTTTAAGCAAAACCCATTTATTAAATCATAAACTCTGTAATTAAACCGTTATTAAACACCATTAAATCTAAAATCTACAAATCAAACCTTATTACGTATGGTTGACAGACAAAAGCACATTAAAATCTGACATGCTTAAGAATAAAATCCGGATTAGTGCCGGTTACGAACTATCTGATGAATCCGATGAATATATCGAAGTTACAATTAATGATTACATTAATTCCATCCGCCCCCCAACACATGTATCAAAAATAACCACCAAATAAAAGGATATCCATCAGCTTATCCAATGAATTGTTCAATAGATCCAAACACTAACTCGAATCTTCTATAAATTCTTTCAAATTCAAATTGATAAAAATTTATTTGAATTTGACATGATAATACAACATAATCGCATTATAATTTGATATGATCAAAATGAATGATAGGCATATTCCATCTTCTAAGTAAAGTTCTCCAGGAGTTGAATCGTTTTTGGATTCTTTTGCATGATAGATGTTTGCAGCAACAAAAATATTGTGATTTTTTATTGGTGAAACGTTACGTTACGTTCTCAAACAATGTATAAATTAGTTACCTTGCAAACTTATCTACACAGACTAACCAGATGAATTTTTTCTTATGTAACCCTAATGCGATACCATGATAACTTACAGCACATGGCTTCATAAACTGCACCAAAGCAAACTTAGCATGGCGCATCGATGACACAATGCAATAAATGACGATACGGCACTAAAAGAAACGAATTCACATTTCAGCAACGATGCCGAACGATCCTATAAAATCTGCTTACAGAATTCTGACGGTTAATATCGAATGCATAATCAACTAAGAATAAAATTGCATTCGAAAAAAAATTCAAAGAAATTTTTTTTTATCAAAAAAAAAAAAAAAAATTCGAAACCTAAAGTTACTAATTTTCTACTCTATTAATACATATGGACAATACATATGGGCTAGATGCTGCAAAATTGACAATTTTTCAAAAAAATTGTTTTTTGTATAAAATAAGATCAAAATTATTTTTTACTTAAGCGGTTGTATTAATAGAATTTTGCAGTATAACTCTTTGAAATCTGTATTTTATTATAAACTTTATAATATAAAAATTGATTTTCTTAAAAAATTTTTGAAAAAAATGTTAATATAATGATTACTAAATTTGGGTTTGTCCACCATGTTCGGCAAAATAATCAATCCTGATTTTGTTTTATTTCTTCTAATACAGTAATAATAAAATCATAGCTTACTCATTTTGGTAAGGCTGCCCAGATACGTAATAATTTTGCTTTAAAAATAGTCGGTTAATGCAGTTTATTTCGATAAAGTGTGGTCTGAAAATTAGTGATAGTACCCGGGATTAGTGATCCAAATCGTTAGTTGAAAAACCAACTAGTTGACAACTAGTTGACTAATCGATTGGAAAATTTTAACCAACTAATCGTTGATTGATTATCTACATAATAAAATTTAAATGTTAAATTTCTTTAGCCAATCAAATTGATACAAAAAATGTGTAATTATTTATTTGACCAATCGAATTTATTAAAAACATGTGATACTGTATTTCGTCATAAAAAGAACCCCGGGTATACTGTATAGCAGAGGGTATACTATATGAGGTCTCGTGTAAGGATCATATTATGAAAACAATATGTTTTTATATGTGACGTGTATAAAAACCTCCGTTTATCGTACCGGGTCTTGTACTGAGTACTCTACAAAGCAAAATATTAAATGTTATATTAATAACATATCTAAACTTACAGAATAAAATATCATAAGCCAAATAAATTAAAAGGTTTATATCTTAAGTAATATTTTATTCACAATTCTTCATGATCTGCAACATTCATCTTTTCAAGAATATAATTCATTCTATTAACTACTTCACTTGGCACCATATTAATCCTTTTTGAGGGATCAAGGTAGTTTAGTGTGATAGCTATGCCAAATGCAATAGAGTTTTTTTCTGTATTTGGATCCACAAAGATATGATCAATGATTAGGTTAAGATAGGTATAGTGCGGATCATCCGCATCAAAGGGCCTATTTAATTTCATATAACATTCCCATATAATATCTGAATCTTTGAACTTTCGCTCTTCACGTATCACTTGCTGATTTTGAGTTTTGGGCTTCACTAGATCTGGGAATTCAGTATGAATAACATCTTTTACGCGCTGCACAATGTTGCTTCGCGCTTGGCGCGAAAATCTTTGCGCCTATTAAAATAGAAAGTGGGAGTCAAAAAAACCAAATTAATTAATAACAAAATAAGATCAAAATTTGTAAACAAAAAAAAAAAAATTATATGTTTTAATAGCAGTGGTTTTGTTTTTAAAAACAAAATTCGTACAAATTCTATATATGAAGTTTAAAAAAAAAAATCAAACCGGCCAGGTCTATTTAAAGTCTCATGTTGAGAAAACCAAGGCGTTAAATTTGTATGAACTAAACATTTAATTTGGCTTACCAAGGAATGGATGTGTTTGTTGTAAAACCTTCTCCATCTGCCATGTTTTATTCGGTTTTGAAATTCGTCATTGTTTGCATCCGACAAAGCATTGTAGCATACTTCCATGAGGATTTCATCGGTAGGATACTTGACTTTTTCGGTTATACCATAGATAGCATTACCAATTGCATTCTGATACAAAGTATTATATAGAAAAATAAATAATAATGTATTAACATTGATGCATAGAGATAAGATATAGATTGATTTGACATATGTACCTCTATCCACTTTGTGTCATTTTCTGCATTACTGCCGAATCCGACAGCTTTCCAGTCAGCATGCATTTCATTTATTTTTTTTTGCATCTCTTAAATCATCGTAACTATTTGAAGTTGTACATCTTAATCTTGTATACTCTTAATTGTGAATGCAAGGTCTAAAGGAATCACGTTAAATTTGTAATATAAAATAACCAATACCAAAAAAAAAAAAAACAATAACTTATGAATTCTTTTTTGTGTATCTATATTTTTGTTTTTTGTTTGCTTTGTCTTTATCCTTACATTTACAATTAGAACTGAGTGACTCATTTCCTGAAATGTCATCGTCATCGGTAAGATTTTCGTTGTTACTTGACAAGCGATATTCGCGATAATCTACATCAGGTGGGGTGATATTATCATCATGAGTCTATATAACTACATCTTTTGCAACCTGAGTAAAACTACTTAAGATGCTTGAGGAGGAAGTTGGGATGCTTGAGGAGGAA